ATTATGAAAAAGACATTTTAAAATACTAATTTCATTATTCTAGAGTACTTTTTGAATCGATAAAATTAGTGTTCTAGAAAGTATTTTTTGAAATTATATTTTTAACATACTTCCGGAAAAGTACTTTCCAAAATATTAAAATTAATGTTTCAGAAAGTACTTTCAAAAGTAATAAAATTAGTATTCCAAAAAATATTTTCTAAAAATGTTATTTTACATAATTTAAGGAAGTTTTTTCCAAAGTTGTAAATTTAGTGCTCCAGAAAGTATTTTCAGGAATAATAAAGTTAGTGTTTTGAAAAGTATTTTTTAGAAGTATGTTAAAAACGTAATTCGAGAAAATGCTCTCAAATATACTAATTTTACCATTGTGGAAAGTACTTTATAGAATACTAAAATTATTTGATATTGTATTTTTTAGAAGTGTAAATGAGATAAGTTCTTGAAAAAAAAAAGTACATTTGACTCAATATCTTCGCCATTGTCGAGGAAGTTACACGTATTTACAATGCTTTTGAAAACTAATTCTACATTCATGATGTGTGGGAAAACTAAAAGAGGAGAGAGAAGGTAATAGAGTGAAAATTGGAATAGGAGGAAGGAAGAGAATAATATAAGACCGAAAGAATTAAAATTAACTACTGAAATAGGTGAGAAGTGGATGAAGTAAGTGGAGAATGGAGAAAAGGTAAAGGGGTGTATATGAAAATTGAAAAGAGAAGGAAAATAGGTATGTGAAAAAGAAGAAAAAAGTGTTAAATTAAATGTTGAGATATAAAATTAAAAAAAAAAATTTTTTTAGAACTTATTGTTTTTTTTAAAAAAGAGATGTACTTATAAATAATATAAAAAAAAAAGAAGAAGATGTATATATAGCTAAAAAAATGAGGCTGATGATATATACACCTCCATTTTTTTATACATTACACCCCCTTTTTTAAAAAAAAATATTAAATTCCTAAATTATCCTTAATATTATTTGGAATAAAAAAAATTATCCTGGAAATTTTTTTCGGAGGTGTATTTGTACATAATTATGGAAAGTTCTTTTCGGAATAGTAATTTTAGTATTCCGAAATACTAAAATTACTATTCTGGAAAGAACTTTCCGCTGGAATAATTCCGGAAAGTACTTTCCGGAATACTAAAATTACTATTCCGGAAATAACTTTCCGTCGGAATAATTCTAGAAAGTACTTTCCGTAACACTAAAATTACTATTGCGGAAAGTTCTTTCCGGAATTATGGTAAAAAATACACACACTGTGATGGGATTATTTTTATGGTATTTGTCTGAGAGGATATTTTATGAGTTATTTTTATAAGGTTATTACACAAACATACTCCACAATGATGAGATATTGTCCGCTTTGGGCCTTAGCCCTCACGGTTTTGCTTTTGGTCATCACCCAAAAGGCCTCTCAATCATTGAAGTATGTTTGTATTATATAAGTTGTTATTTGTTGTATTATTTTATCGATGTGGGACTTGTTTGAATCCCAACAATCCTTCTCGCAAACAAGGGACCTTACTTTTCATGCAGCGAAATCTGTCTTTATATGGCACATTTATTTTATGAGTTATGAGGGGTTATAGGGTTATTGGTTGTCACCGAATCCAACCTGCGGCTCTGATACCACTGATGGGGTTATTTATTTTATTGTATTTTTATTGTAGAGTATGTTTGTGTAATAACCTTATAAAAATAATTCATAAAATATCCTCTCAGACAAATACCATAAAAATAACCCCATCAGTGGTATCAGAGCCGCAGGTTGGATTCGGTGACAACCAATAACCCTATAACCCCTCATAACTCATAAAATAAATGTGCCATATAAAGACAGATTTCGCTGCATGAAAAGTAAGGTCCCTTGTTTGCGAGAAGGATTGTTGGGATTCAAACAAGTCCCACATCGATAAAATAATACAACAAATAACAACTTATATAATACAAACATACTTCAATGATTGAGAGGCCTTTTGGGTGATGACCAAAAGCAAAACCGTGAGGGCTAAGGCCCAAAGCGGACAATATCTCATCATTGTGGAGTATGTTTGTGTAATAACCTTATAAAAATAACTCATAAAATATCCTCTCAGACAAATACCATAAAA